AAAATTTAATATTAAAAAATTAAAACATTTATAAAAAATGAAATGTTAAAATTTTTTGAAAAAGTTTGAATAAAAAACATTTTCGGTTTCGGTTTTGGCCTGACATTTTTTTCATTTCGGTTTAATTTCCTTTTTGACATTTTCATTTCATTGCACCTCTAGTTCAGTCTCTGGATTCTGCATTAGCCTAATTTAGGATGCCCAGGTAGGAAATTGTGCAGCTTTAGAAAACATTATTATCACTTTAAAACATGTTTTCCAGATTACCTCTAAATTGTTAAGGTGTCCTGAAAGCAAATGCCAAGTATTGATTTGCAACTTGCAACCCATAAAACTAATCCAACCGGTAAGTTTTGTGTTTTGCACAAAAAGAGGTTATGCTGAAGTAAATATGGGGCTACATTTGGACATTCACAATCTTTGCATATTCTTAACCCCTTAAGGACCAAGGCCTTTTTTTTCCGTTTTTTGCTTACGTGTTATAATGCGCATTATAGGCTAGGAAATTACTTCAAACCCCCAAACATTATATATTTTCTGAACGCCAAGACCCTGTAGAATACAATGGTGGCAGTTGCAAATCTGGATGTTGCACAACATTAGTCCAACTTACTATCAAACCCAAAAATTAAGTGAACAAATGCACTTAAATTAAATTTAGTGCCCCAAAACACTATATACAACATTGTTTAAATACAATATAAAAGATGAGGTTACAGCTAGTAAATAGATACTCAACATGTCCAGGTTAAAAATTGTGTGCATCTGTGAAACTGCAACAAAATTCAGTACCCCAAAAAGTCCATAGACAACACTTTAAAAGCCCCTACAGTCTTCAGTTTAGAAATACATGTAAATATTGGAGCTGGAATTATTGCTCTCACTCTGGCATGCATGGTGATACCCAACATGTGTAGCACGATCATCGTTTTCATATGTAGGCACACCCAAAGCATGTTTACGGGAAATGCGCATGTTCGAGTGGGCGGGGGACTTTAAAAAATGGTTTTTTAATTATTTTTACATTTATTTTATTTAATATTATTTTTAAAACAAGTTTTTTTTTCAACTTTACTTTACTTGCTATCACATAGGGGGCTTACAAGCAGTGACAGGTCCTGTTTAAGGTGATACTGTGAGTCCAAAAGACCCCTAGTATCACCTTACCACTTTAAATAAGCTATTGCAGTGCAGACCACACATCAATAGCTTATTGCTTGGCTTCAGGAGCCGAGCAATGATAGCTATGGGACCAGAAGTGATGTAATCAGCATTGCTCCCGGTCCCATAGTGCGGGGAGGAGATCAGGGGGCCGAAGTTTGCAGATCTCCTCCCCATCTTCCTGCCGACACCCAAGATACCGATCCTGGGCCTGCAGGAGGGGCAGCAGAGCCCAGAAAACATGGTTTCAGGTGGGGAAATGCAGCCACTTTATCGGCCCGCAGAAGCGATCTAGTCACAGCTGAGTCACCAGAATTGTTTCTACTGTAAAGCCGGCCGCCGGCTCTACACATATAAACAGAGTCCCGGTAGAGCCCTTGAGGACCTATGATGGAATTATCCCATTATGGGTCGTCAAGGGGATAACAAGCAGTAAATGAGCTTTAAAACAAGCCCTCACTAACCTTTGTAGGAGAAGCACTAAAGTTATTCAAAATGTTCTCTTAGGAAACCTAGTTAACCCTGCTCCCCCTCAAAAGAATGGAAGGTGGCCAAGACACTGCTGGGGTTTGGGGGGAGCACGTTGAACCTCTAAGAGAATGACTTGAACCTGAATCTTAACTGAAAATTCTTAATGACAACCTAGACTACATGAAAAATGCTGGCACTGTGAACAATTCTAAAGTCAAATTATCTTGTGCACAACCGATTTCAAAGAGTTTCAAAGATTCCCATTTGGATTGAGAATATGTAATAAAGTAAGAGAGACACAAAAAGTTAGACACTTAGTTAGGAAAAGTGTGGAAATTAATATGCAAAATGTCCAAGTTCGGTGAAATATCAGATAGGGATCAAAGCTACAAGACATTGCTTAGAAAAGGCAGTTGATCTGAGATCTTTGGGCAGACAAGATTGAAACTTGTATATAATTCCACAGGGAGGTCTGCAATCACGTCCAACAAGCTGAAGAATTCAGCAAGTGAGACTGGCGGGAAGGTGCTGCAGTGAATTAATGCAATAACTTGCCTTAATATTTATCTTCATTGGAGGGAAAGAGAAATTATGTCTGGGAATGGACAGAAATGAGTTGAGTGAACCAATAACAATGTGGTAAAAGCTTTCGTGGCAAGATGAGACCAGTAAATCACTTTCTGCCCAAACTTTAAAGAGATGGGACAAATCTAAAACTGCTCACATCTCTAGAAACACCAAAGCCAAAGAAATGTATGAAGATGGTATCAGGGACGGTAGTATTCTCTCTCTCTCTCTTTCTCTCTCTCTCTCACACACACTCACTCACTCTCTCTCTCTCTATCTCTATAGTGATAAAAGTTGGATACAAGAAGGAATTTTCCAAAATCAACATGTAAGTTACCTTTTAGATAAAAACATCCTCATAAACACTTTACCTCATTCATGATTTTTTATTTCGGATATTTATTTTTCCTTCAAGACATCTTGAAATACTTCTTTCATAAAAATACTTTTTTTTAACATTTCCTGTAATATCTATATTTTAAGGACGCTTTTTAGATTAAGATCTAAGTCTTTATTAGATACATTTACAGAAGCACTAAAATAAATTAACAAACAGCTGCTTTAACCTGTAAGTTGTTTTATTGAATTATAAGACTACATTTGCATTTTTTAAGGTGTGGGTATATTAGGTATTAATTTATTTTATAGTTGGAAAACCTTAAAGTAATACAAAATTACATGAAAGCGCATAGTGACACACCGTTAACTCTCTCATCACCATCATCTGGGTTCAAGAGATGTTTTTATACCTACATTTTCTTTTGTGTTGGCTCAGCTTTTATAGCTTGTTGTACTTTTTTGTTTAAGTTTTTAAGGTGCACAATTATACAATTCCCTTCACTTAAAGTGACACTAAACTCAGGAGTAAGTCATAAGTATATCTTAAAAATGCATTCAAATACCTTAACTATTAACAATACTGTACATTATTTGTGCATCACTCTGCAGTAGATACTCAAATCATCTCTGAATTGGTGCTGACACTGTCCTTCCTTCTGGAGGGTGTCTACTTTTGTTCCCCATGGTCCCTCTGTGTGTTGTAAAGAAGCCACTACTCCAAGTTCACTCCCATGATGGAATACAATCTCAATACAAATGAGTAAACTAAATGTGAGAGTGTAGTCTATCACTGGAGTGAGCTTGGTGGCTACTTTACAACACACTCAGGGACCAAGGGGAACAAAATTACTCACCCTCTAGAAGGAAGGACAGTGTCAGCACCAATTCAGAGATGATTTGAGGAATTACGGCTGATATGTCTATGGGACAGGAAATAAAAAGGCAATCTACCCAATGGGACGCAGACGGAAAACAAAACTGACAAGGTTTTCCCCCTTTCTTACTCTAACAAAAACAAGCAAAAATGTTTTGGCTTTAGAAATATTGTAATTAACCACTTGAAGGCCATAGTGTTTCACCCCCTTCCTGGCCAGGCCATATTTTAAATATATATATATATTTACATATAGCTGCACTATTCCTGCTTACACTTGTTTCAGTTAGGTAAAAAGTTTCTAATCAGGTGGTTGTACAGTTCAGATGCCTTCAGAGCACAATACATAATTGCTGAGTGTTTATTTAAATGCATTGTAAAACAACAAGAGCAGGAGTAACCAATGCAGATTTTCCACCTGGAATTCATCATGTGGGGGAGATTGGGGAAGAGCCAGCTAAGATAAGAAGTTAGGAAGCTTCAAGCTATTTGCAAGGCTCCAGCCCCAGATAATGTAGCCATTGAGGTTTAATGAAGATTCCTCCTCTTCTTCACAGATACATCCAGAGGTGGAGCCTGGCAGAGTGCAGTGATTCTTCGGGGGTGATTTACTAACCTAAACACACGCACGCACCAGGTGCGTGTGATTTTCACACAGCAAAACGTATTTATCAACCAAAAAGTCTCTAAAAGCATATTTCCACTAATGCCATATATGGAAAAATCATGAACATGATGCATATATAATGCTGCTTCACAGTTTAGACAAAAATGGTTAGCTCATGCATTTACATTCCTGCATTCATCAACGCAAGCAACACAACGTAGAGCTAATTTACACAACATCACCTTGTAATTCATGCAAGGCTTTGCACAACACACCTGCTGGGTGTGTACACACTACAAAGGTGTTTAGATTCCACCCATAGATCATGCTGGGAGGGAACACACTACAGAGGTGTATACATGTTCGTGGTGTGTTTATAAGGTTAGTAAATCAACCCCTTCATGTCTCAACAGATTTTTGGTTCATGATAGATTGCTTAGATAATCCTTGGTGTAGATTGTGTTGTTGATTTTTCCTGCCTCTCTCCCATCTCACAATTTCTTTGAATACATGATTTATAACACTGGATCATCTGCACAAGCTTTCTATTTTGCTGCCTTGTTTTAGATCATGGATTCATCTCTGTCCCTTGAAGGCAAAGTAGCACAGCTTGACTTTTTATATATTGTCCTTAATTCTAGCAATACACTCTATTAACTATTCATCTGTTTTTATATGCATTTAGAAATTCAATTTTTATTTATTGCTGTTTATAAAAGGTCTTTTGTACACAAGCTTTTTCACTGTCACTCATTTCAGTTTATTTATCATTTTTGTACCCACTGTTAAGATTTATTTTGTTTATATCTGGATTTAGCACCATTCTTTAGCATTTTTTATTAATAAATAATGTCCATTATGTATTATCTTATGAAGCAATAGTGAGTCATATGACACATAAAAACATCATTTTTAAACAGTTTTATAAATATGTTTTAACAGCACGTAATTTATAAATGTGTAAGCATCCAACCATAATATTAAAACAGATAATGTTTTAAATAAATGCTGATATGAAGCAGGGTGATATTTTTCCACACACGGTTGCATTTTTTTTTTACCACAAAATAATACAACTAACTCATATTTTCTTGCCCCCTTTTTGCCTACAGAGGCACTTATTATAATAATAGGCTATACAGCAGCTGTATAGAAATGTAAAAGATAAATACAGTATATGTACAATATATACAAAATGTTATCTTGGATGGAAGACATATAGTGGTTCTTTAAATGAATACTCCAGTCAAATCTGAAAAGCAAAGCACAATATAGTCACTAGTTTTAGCATTGGATAGAGAAGGGAAGGGGTAGGACCTACGTCAGCTTTAAATTAATGTGTCTACAGTGGGGAGATTATCCTCATTTCGTGTCCTCATGATCTTATCATTTCCTTTGCTTATCTGATGCTTATGCTAAAGAGTTATATCAAAACACACCCACTGTAGGCTCCTTACTGTTCCTCACATAGAAGAGGCTTGATAACCTATATGTCAGTACAAAGAAGTTTCACACAGCCACCATTTAGACTCAGCTTGTATGGAGTGAAAGGATGAGCTTGCCAAACTGTAAAGGCCGTGACACACTGCACGCGAAGTAGCGCGGAGCGGGGGCGCGCTGCCTTTGCGAGCAGTGTGTCATGTAATGTTCTGCTCGGCACCTCAGCTTGCGAGTGCTCGCGGAGCTGAGCGTGCGAGATGAACAATTTCAACTTCAGCCAATCGTCTCGCACGTATAAACCAGCGCGTCGCGATGCGACAGATGGCAGGTTGTTACGGACGAGCCGATTGGCTGAAGGTGCTGTCAATCATCTGAGCTGCACTCAGCTCACACACTGCACACAAAGCTCCGTGCTGGATAGCTTTGCTTCACTCTGCACGGCTTCGCGTGCAGTGTGTCACGGCCTTTAGGATTAGCTCGAAATATACATTTCTATTTGTCACAACAAAAGAGTCTGAAGACCAATGTGTTTTAGAGTTTATGCACAACTTCCCCTAGGGCTTAGTATTACTGTGTGACTTTAATCCTGAAGGGTGGTTACTCTTTTTTAATTCCTTCAGAACTGCTGTTAGGAACTTCATCAATAAATCATCTTGCAGGGAGCTTTTTACCACAGTTTAATATTTAAAATTCAGGCGACACAAAAATAATACAGCTCTTGTGAGAGAAAAGAAATCAGAATTTGACCATTTTCTATTGTTTGGCATTTTCATTGTTTCCCTCCATATGAGCAAAAATGTCCTATGGACCTCACTGGTGTCCTACTAGACATAAGTGAGCTGCCACATTCCAGCAATCATTACATTTATTCGGAACCACTTCAAGTTCGGAGTCCAGCGCCCCACAATCTTAATTACAGAACAAATTAGATTCAAACCTACATTTTAGGCCAATTGTTGATACATCAGCCAATAAAAAGGAAAAGAGAGGGAGAGAGGAATAGAAACAGCACAGGCTGCAAGAAGCAGACCCACCTACCCCATTTGTGAGCAGCTTTGTGAAATCTCCCTGCATTGGATTACATAATGGGGTCTATTCACGAAGCAGACGAAGGATCTAGCCATAGCTTCGGCCAATTCTTAGGCTAGCTTCGGCCCCAGAACCCTTTCAGGTCAGTTGAACCAAAGGGCTGCTGTACGGGCTATTCACAATAGCCCGTACAGCTCCCGATAAAGAAATAAACAAAAAAGTGAAAATGCAGTGTTTTTCTCCTGGGTGGCCGGGAGCAGGAGACTCCCAGAGCGCCGGGATAGTTTTTTTTTTCTTTTTTTTGAAGGCAGCAAAAAGATGTAGATTTGTAGGTTACACTAAACGAGTGCCTAGATAGGTAGGAGGAGAACCATGAGAAAGCAGAGTCTTGTAGGCCAAGCGAGTGGAGTTTTCTGAGGAGCAGAGGGTGGTCAACAGTGTCAAAAGCAGCAGAAAGGTCTAATAGCAAGAGTACGGAGTAGTGGCCGTTGTTTTTAGCTGTTATTAATTCATTAGTGAGTTTTAGTTGTAGGGTTCAGTTTCAGTGGAGTGTTAGGGGTGAAAGCCGGACTGTAGGGGATCGAGAAGGTTGTTATCGGTGAGGTTGGTGCTCAGGCGATTGTAAACAAGGTGTTCAAGGAGTTTGGAGGTGAAGGGGAGTAAGGAAATAGGTCTGAGATTGCTGAGGTTGGATGCTTTATCATCTATTACAAACGTGAAGTCTAGGTGAAACGGATTGTTCTTGCAGTAATTGACAAAGGCAGAAAATTCTATGGCAGTGCCATCCCAGATAATGAGGATGTCATCGATATATATGGCGAACAGGACTAAGTGAGCTCCAAACGGGTTATTCGACCAGATGTGAAGCTCTTCCCAATACCCCATCAGCAAGTTTGCGTATGAAGGAGCAAAACTAGCCCCCATAGCAGTGCCTTTTAGCTGTATATAGTGGCTGTCTAGAAACGAGAAGTAATTGTGTGTCAGCACAAACTGGTTTTACCCTTATTGGTTGATACATTTTATGTTTTTAACTTCTCATATGAATCATCCCACAAACGTTTTTTATATTTTATTTTTTTATATTTTATTTTATTCCTATACCATCATTTGGGTGTTGGTTTATACATGTATATGGTGGTTGACAGCCATCCAGTTCACCTTCCTCCTATCCATCCCTTGCAGGTGATCGAGTTCCTACACTGATCCATGCACTCAGCAGTTGCTGTGAGTTGACACTCTGCTGTATCCGGACACAATAGCTGGTCCGTTTAGATGAAGGCCAAATTGGCTGACCTGGAAGATAGGTCTCGCCGCAACAATGTGAAAATACGCGGCATTCCTGAATCAGTCGCCCAGGCGGATTTGATGTCCTATGTGCAGGATCTTATGCATGAAATTATGCCGGGCACTCCTAAAACGGAACTGATCATAGACCGCATACATCGACTACCTAAGCCGCCGAACATATCAGATAAGCTACCAAGAGATGTGCTGATGCGGGTGCACTTTTTTCATGTCAAAGACCACTTCCTAAGGCTGGTGAGGGATCCGTCCAAACTCCCTGACAGATGCTCCCGCCTCCAATTCTACTCCGATCTATCCCAACATACCATGCTATTTCGGAAGCGGCTTGGGCCGGTTACCAGAGCACTGCGCAGCCGCCAAATTGTGTACCGCTGGGGCTACCCCGCCAAACTCATAGTGTCCAAGGAGGGAGAGTCCTTCACGCTTTTTTCCTTAGAACATGGCCTGACGCTCCTGGAGAAGTGGAAGATTCCCCCTGCCCATGATCCTGCCTCCCGCTCGGATATGTCTCCTAGCAAGATGACCTCTGACTGGCGTACCTCTACCCGCAAGAGGGGGTCCCAGACGACGAAAGCCCCTGATTGAATTTGACCTGCGATGCTACCTGACGGCTATAAGCCTCTTGGCCCTGTTCGGCCACACTGATCACCATGTGTGATAACCCCCAAGCCATGAGCAGTGCTAGTCACTGCACGTTGGTCCCCAGAGGGAACCTTTTTTTAATTTCCTTCCACTGTTTTCTTGTTATTTTTCTGGTTTACTTTTCTTTTTATGTGCCAAGTGCGAGACTAAGCATATCATTCCACGAGGAGGTACCTGCCGAGGCCCGGCCGAGGATGCCTTTGCCAGCAGCGAGGACAATGTCGATCACTGCTCCTGTATGCATGGGCGTGAGTATAGAACCTGTAATGCTTATCGTTAATCCCTTTTCACAATGCCAGTGAATATAATTTCCATTAATGCTAAAGGGCTTAATCACCCGGCTAAAAGGAACCAGTTGTGGAAGGAGGCACAGTCCCTGTCTGCGGATGTCCTCTGCGTCCAAGAGACCCACTTTTCTCTTTTACAAGCCCCGAAATGCTCCCACAGGAATTTTCCCCATACGTTTTTTGCTAACTTTACGAACAAGACAAGAGGGGTAATGATGCTTTGTACATGGTAAAGTCTAGCAGAAACCTAGTTTTACACCACACTCGCTCCAGAGTGCGGCTATGTCTCTTGAGATTTCTAGTTTCTTTGGTTTGCCATGGTTGTAGCGGACGTGGTCTAAGTCTGCGAGTAGTGAGGGGAGCCA